GATCGAGTACCTTACACAAAAGACTTGAATCCTACAAAGACAATAATACATCCCCACAAGAGGATATTGCTCCTAAACCTTCAGCTGACGTCCTTCGTTACATCATGATATCCAGCTAGCAGTGTTAGTACATTGTACTTCTAAACCCTCATGCGTATCAGTTTCCTAAACACTCATCATTGTTAATTTCCTTAACACTCAGCTATGTTGGTTTCCCAAACACTCGTTTCTGCCAATTTCCCAAATACTCGTCTACGTCAATTTTCTAAAAACTTGTTTGTGTCATCTTCTCAAAATACACATTTGTGTCTACTTTCCCTCTAGATCCTAATAAGATCAGTACAGTTAATCATCCCTTGTATCTTCACTCGTCATGTCGTGACCAATGTTTTCATCTTAGAACCTGAGATCGCCCATAGGCTAGGTTTTCCCTATGGATTTTGTTTTAGAATTTTGAGGTCACCCTTAGGCCTAGTTCTTTAACAAATCGCCCATAGGTATCTTCGTAGAATCCTGAGGTCGCCCATAGGCTTAGTTCTCCGATAGATCACCTTGATGTCTCATTGTAGAATTCTGAGGTTACCCATGGGCCTAGTTCTCCAGTAGATGAAGTTTCATCTTAGAACCTGAGATCGCCCGTAGGCTAGGTTCTCCCTATAGATCTTGTTTTAGAATTCTGAGGTCGCCCTTAGGCCTAGTTTTCCTATAGATGAGGTTTCATCTTAGAACCTGAGATCGCCCGTAGGCTAGGTTCTCCCTATAGACCTTGTTTTAGAATCCTGAGGTCGCCCATAGGCCTAGTTCTTTGACAGATCGCCTTGATGTCTCATCGTAGAATTCTTAGGTTGTCGATAGGCCTAGTTCTCCAGTAGATGAGATTTCATCTTAGAACCTGAGATCACCCGTAGGCTAGGTTCTCCATATAAATCTTGTTTTATAATTGAGGTCGCCCTTGGGCCTAGTTCTTCAGTAGATCGCCCATAGGTATCTTCGTAGAATCCTGAGGTCGCCCATAGGCCTAGTTCTTCGATAGATCGCCTTGATGTCTCATCATAGAATTCTTAGGTCTCCCATATGCCTAGTTCTCCAGTAGATGAGATTTCATCTTAGAATCTAAGATCGCCCATAGGCTAGGTTCTCCCTATAGATCTTGTTTTAGAATTTTGAGGTCGCCCTTAGGCTTAGCTCTTCTGTAGATCGCCCATAGGTATCTTTGTAGAATCCTGAGGTCACCCATAGGCCTAGTTCTCTGACAGATTGCCTTAATGTCTCATTGTAGAATTCTGAGGTCGCCCATAGGCCTAATTCTCCTATAGATGAGGTTTCATCTTAGAACCTGAGATACCCGAAGACTAGGTTCTCCCTATAGATCTTGTTTTAGAATCCTGAGGTCGCCCATAGACCTAGTTCTTCGACAGACCGCCTTGATGTCTCATCATAGAATTCTGAGGTTGTCGATAGGCCTAGTTCTCCAGTAGATGAGATTTCATCTAAGAACCTGAGATCACCTGTAGGCTAGGTTTTCCATATAAATATTTTTTTATAATTCTAAGGTCGCCCTTGGGCCTAGTTCTTCAGCAGATCGCCCATAGGTATCTTTGTAGAATCCTGAGGTCGCCCATAGGCCTAGTTCTCCGATAGATTGCCTTGATGTCTCATTGTAGAATTCTGAGGTCGCCCATAGGCCTAGTTCTCCAGTAGATGAGATTTTATCTTAGAACCTAAGATCGCCCGTAGGCTAGGTTCTCCCTATAGATCTTGTTTTAGAAATCTAAGGATGCCCTTAGGCCTAGTTCTTCAGCAGATCACCCATAGGTATCTTCGTAGATTTCTGAGGTCGCCCATAGGCATAGTTCTCCGACAGATCGCCTTGATGTCTCATCGTAGAATTCTAAGGTTGCTGATAGGGCTAGCTCTCCTGTAGATGAGGTTCCATCTTAGAACCTGAGATCGCCCGTAGGCTAGGTTCTCCCTATATATATATATATATATATATATATATATATATATATATATATATTGTTTTAGAATTTTGAGGTCGCCCTTTGGCCTAGTTCTTCAGCAGATCACCCATAGGCATCTTCATAGAATCCTAAGGTCACCCATAGGCCTAGTTCTTCGATAGATCGCCTCGATGTCTCATTGTATAGTTCTGAGGTCGCCCATAGGCCTAGTTCTCCAGTAGATGAGGTTTTATCTTAGAACCCGAGATCTCCTATAGGCTAGGTTCTCCCTATAGATCTTGTTTTATAATTTTGAGGTTGCCCTTAGGCCTAGTTATTCAAAAAGATCGCCCATAAGTTTCTTTGTAGAATCCAGAGGTCGCCCATAGGACTAGTTCTCCAATAGATCGCTTTTATGTTTCACCTTAGGATTTTAGGTCTCCCGTAGATCTTATCCGTCGTTATTTCATACCAACCTTTGTCTTGTATTGGCATCACGCCACGTTACAAGTCTATCCGTGTCTTATATTTGGCATCACACTACGTCACATGTCCAGTCTCCGTCTTGTATTAGCCTTTATTTCTATGTTATAAGTCCAACCTCTGTCTTCTCACCAGAAAACAGAGAAAAAATTTCTCTCCCCCAGCAGATATCACAAAAAATAAACAAACATTCACACTTTCTCTCAGAACAAATTTTTGGCATTGGTATCATCTTCTACCCCGAACATCCGAAAGGCACGCGCCAATCATACTTTCAGGTTTAAGATGATTAAATAGGGGCAGTTGTAATACCCCAAATTTGTCCTTCCCTTTCATTTTTGTCATCTGGCTTATGCGTCTCTTAATCATCATGTACACACCTCCAATTAGGTTATCTAACACATCATGCATCGTTAATCAATCAAAATGGCATTGAGATCAAGGGTATTGAAAAATTAGGGTTTTTTATGGCTTTGAGGCTTTTATCTTTATTCAAGAGATTCAAGTTATTTCTTCAACAATCATGGTTGAAGATAGGGTTTGGATTCTTGATTATTATGAACTTCTCCTCATCAGGCTACAAGGTCCTCTTCATCAAGATACCTCAAGACCAAGTGCATTAGGGTTAGTTATTTTCATCATTTTCTCATTCAAGGATTCGTAGCATTGCTTTTGTTTTAAGGTCAGGACATTATATGTTGGATTGCAAAATATAGTTCATGGGATAAAAGATGAGCTTACAAATTCATTTTGTTGCTTGTGAAGTGTAATGCAAGTTAATGTGGATGTAAGGTTTGAAATTGCGGTTTTTTTGAGAAGTAAAGGTTCATTTGGATTCATTATTTGGAAATGTTCATTCAAAGGGCTACCTAGTGTCATGAGTTCAAGTTTGTGTTAAAACTAGTAAATGGATCAAATGTTTCTCAAACTTACATGGTTGGAAGATGTACCTATATGGTTAAAAGTGCAAGTGCATCAAAATCAGACAAGATTTGTTCAAGGCTTCCTTGACATGTCCATCACTTAAGTTTCAACATTTTCAAAATCAACACATTCCATTCAATCAAAACCCAATCATTCAAGCATATGACACTATAAGGAAATTACGTAAAGGGGTCATTATTTGGACCAAGGCCATCCTCAATTTTTCTCTGCATCTTATCTTATGATCCATTCAAGTTTGTGTTGAAGATAAAAAGACATGGTTTTAAAAATGGATTGTAAATTAGAGAAAAAAAGGCTGAAATTTATTTGAGAAGATCATGGTTCATTACAAAGATTCAAAGGGGGATTACAGGTTGTGTCTCATTCAACAAAAGCAATTAAGCATCACGAAGCTATGACCAAACCGCCCTACAATTAACCTACGCTATCAGTTCATTAAATCCAAAACAACCGGTTCAAAATTGATTATCAACATCCCTGAACATATTTTAAAAAAATCAGTAACATGATCACACTTTTTATGCTAATGAACTCAAAAGACAAGGAATTCTCAAAGTCATAATCATGATGCAAACCTGGATAAGGAATTTTCAAAGTAAGAGTCATGCTACAAATATGGGTAGGCAGTCAAAGTTTTTAGTTCAAGCAATGCAATCTAAAGTTACAGGAAGTTCGGAGACGGTCTTTATGTTGAGCCTATTGAGTATATACTATTGACATTTAAAATTAATCATAACTAACGTACAGTTTGCTAACAACCTTACTACATAACCTAATATTGCAAAATAGATTTCAAACTAAGCTAGCTTTTACTAATTCTTTATTAAACTACTTACTTTTTTTACAATAGACCTTTCCAACAGAAATCTAGTAGAGCCTAACTGTTTCTAACAGATTCGCAACTTCCCTTAACTAAACTCTCTTAATTTCCCTCTACTGTCAATTTAAAACCATCTCAGCTTTCCCTCGAGAATTTCTTTAAAATAAACCTCGAAACTAATCTCTAACATCCTAACAAACTTTTGAACCAACTCTAACTAACTTTCTAACAACTCCTAACTGACTAATAGCTAGCTCATGTAACAGAATTCTCTTAACTACCTATAACAGAAAAAACTAACTAACTGATAGAATTACCAAACTGACCATAACAGAATTCCACAACCTCTAACCAACTTTCAAGTTGTTTTATAACACACTAATCTCGACCCTTGATTCACTAACTAACTTCTCTAAATCTCAGGGCTGAAGAATAAAATTGTAACTAACTCCATGCATTCATCAACCCCTATATAAACATTGCTTCATCTTCTTTAAAGGGAGAGAATCATTTCTACAGACAAAAAAATAAAAAAAGACTCAAAACTCCCTCTCTCCCTCTCTGAAAACCAACTTCCTAACAGAAAACGCAGCAGATAATAGAAAAGAGAGGAGGGAGTTTACGATGATAAAACCTTCAGACAAAAAAAAAAGCTCACCATAATTTTTTCTTTAAACTCTCCATCTGATCCATCGATTCATCAATTCTAAACATCCTTCAATCTCTTTTATCATTGCCTTCATTCTTCACAATTTGGAGAATCACAAGAAAACTCCATAGAAAATTCCAGAAAACTCTCTCCTCCTGAAATCTTCATCATGCGGTTTCATCTTCATTTCATACACCTTCAACCTTCTACATCATTCTTCAAGATTCCTTCAATCATCATTGTACCTCTTCAATCTTTTATCCTCTTCATCACACAATCATCGCATCAGATTCATCATCAATTTTACAACCACAGCACGTGCAACCATCACACGTAACAACAATAGTTCGCAATAACATAAGAATAAGAAAAGGATTTCTAGAGTCGAAAGAGAAGAACATATCACAAAACCAAAAGAGCACATATCTGATTCGAAGGTGACGAAGCACCAGAAAGTTCTTCCTCTAGGTAATTCCTATTGCTTTTGATTCTTCAATTTCGCGTGTCTGCTAAAATCTTGAAGTTAAACTGCGAATTGAAAAATTGAGAGCATGAGGTGGAGACTCGATTGAGGTCGGAATCAGAGGCGATAATGAAGGCGGAATGTTGAGAAAGGTTAACCGGTGGGGATGAAGAAGGTTAGAGGTGACGATGAATCGGTGATGAAATCGAAGAAGGAGGTTGCGGCTTTGTGTTGAGTGATTGAAGAAGATGATAATCGAGAGTTGCGCTGCTGAGATTGAGAGAGGAAGCGAGTCTATGTTCAAAAGATATGAAGAGACATAACAACTTGAACCCTAAATCCCTTTCCCCAGAACGGCATCATATCATTTTCTTCCCCTTTTAATTTAGTTTTTTTTTTATTTATATTGAAACAAAATGCTTGCTGAAAATATGAGTGGGCCTCAATTACATTTGGTGTGGGCTGAACCACATACCCCTTATCCTGTGTTAATCATTTTGTAGCCTGGAGAGGATGCCAACAAAAATAGCCTTTTGGACTTGTCTGAAATGGGCTTAGCACCCAGACTGCATTACCTCCTGACTTCATGTTACACCCCATTGAGTTTAATTTTCTTTTTAGATTTCCATTACATTTTCCTTATTTTTTTGTTATTGATTGTTGATAAAAAATTACAAAATCAATAAGACTTGTTATTGTTTTAGTGATTAGGAACTAATTCTCTAGTTTTTGGTAGGGGTTTTTTCCATGATAAAAACAATAAAGAATAGTAGAATATAATAGAATTTTTCTAGAAATTCCTTAATGCACAAACCCCTTGCCTTTAAATAGAAGAAGCATTTGCAAGAGAAAGGTTAGAAAAAACAGAAAGAAAATCCAGAAGTTCTGTTGTAAGCTAGCCATCAAGCCATAACTGTCCAAAAAAAGTTTCCACTCTTGAGTTTCAAAGTCCAAATATTTGGAACTCTCACACCTTGCAAGCTTTGTCCAAACATCCAAGCACCTCACACACATCATCTAGAAATTATTCAAACTCAAGAACAAGCTTCTACAACATCTCTGTTTTCTTTTCTAAGTTCAAGAACAGTCAAGACAATAACTCAGGCTCAGAGTATAAGATCCATCTCCAAGGTAAGTTTCTTGACTTTAGTTCTTCATTTCAAGCATCATTAGAAATTCATTTTTTAAAGACAAAGTGTAGTAACCATTGTCCTTGAAGCTAACCTTGTGTTTATCTTCCATTCTTTTCATTATGTGTTGAGAACTAACCCATGTATGCAACAAAACAATGTTGAAGTAAAAAATGACAGTATGAGTCGACACATAGCCTTATGAGTCGATACATACTACTGTACAGGCTCAAAACAGAAGGAAAAATGACAGTATGAGTCGACACAAAGCACGTATGAGTTGACACATGCAGTGTATGAGTCGACACATACCATTACGTATCGACTCATACTGAGTTGATTTGGCAATACAGGGGCAAGGAAAGTTATATGTCGATGCATAGGAGCTTGTGTCGACACATAATAGTTCAAAATGCAATTTTTCCTTCTTTTTACACTGTTTTTACATTTCCTTCATTGTTATTCGATATGGTTGTAATATTTAAGTTCCTATTTCATCCCCATTTGTAAATTGTACCCCCATCCCCTAAACGATGTAATAGCGTAAGACTTTATTTTCCGTAATTTAACGTTTTCAAATACAAATGCTAGTAATTAGGGTTTTGTATGGAAAGACTAAAACCAATCAATAGAAAACCCTAATAAAAGACAAAAACAATGCATGAAAATCAATACACTTGCATACAAAAACCCCTAGGGTAAATCCACTTGGTTGCCTTATAAAAATGGCCATATTACGCATGTGAGGTATCTTAGCAAAGACAAGCAAAATACAAGATCATATCCCCTCGATGACGCTATTTATGTTGCCTTTCAAAATGATCTTAGTCCCTAAAGAAAAATGCTAAGATACCTTGCAATATTTCTAATCATGGTTATACGATGACCCACGTTCGTCCCTTTTACATCTAAAGATATGGTTACTTACCAAAATCAATGGTAAGATAACAATGTCAAAGGAAAGAGGAAATAGACACAAGGACTTTTGAGTAGGTAGGATGTTCCTGGTTACTTGCTAAATTTCAAAACAAAAAAATCCTTGTTATTTTTCAAAACAAACACCAACACTTTCAAAAAACACCTTTCAAACTTGAAAAAAATTTCAAAAGAGAAAACACTTTGTATACATTTTTACGAACGAGAATCATTACAAAGTTTTCCTAGACAAAGGCCTCTTTACAAAATACTTTCAAAAACCACACAAAGCACATTTTCAAGCAAAAGCAAGTGATCTAGAAAGTAATTATGAGCCCATGGAAAACCGTGGTTGAAAAGGGTGCTAATACCTTCCCTTTTCATGATCTACCCCCCGAACTCAAGAAACAATCTCAAAGATCTTTCCTGTGCTTTTTCATATTTCCTTTTGGATAAAAGAAAAGTCGGTGGCGACTCTTGCTAACCGCAACATTTGTGATCAAACGCAAAACAACCAAGTCAGTTCTCCCACCGTATCACAGCTCTTTTGAATGAATATCTTCATTGGTATCCATCATCCTATTAGTTAAACTCCCTTCCTTGGATAATTTACAAAGAAGAGAGCTTAGCTTCCTTCATTGCAATCTATCAACACCAACAACAACATCAACACTATTATGTGAGATAGATTGCAAGGGCGGAAAAAACGTTTAGTCCTATAAGAACATTGAAGGTTTTTTCTGTCTTGCAATCCATCCAAAAGAATGATGCAATTTCGAGTTTGGTGCGGCTAAAAATAAGTAAGGATTAGGGTAAAAAAAGTTGCTAGTGTAATCTGATTAGTATACCCCTCAGTTATATCGTAACATCGAAGGGTTGGCTAATTTATTTTTCAATTTTAATCAAAATAGTATATAAACTACAAAAGTTAGGATTCGAAGCACGTCCAGAATAATTTTACCTTTTGGATTTATTAGAAACCGAAGTAGATTGATACTTTTCCAATTAAAAAAATATAATACATGGCGTCCCTAGGCTTAATACCTCGTTATTTTTCTGGTTGACGTGAAAGCTCCATCATGAAATGCGTTATTTGTTGTAGTGTATGTTAATTTGTTAGATAAATGTTTTCGCAAAAATTTGCCTTATCCAACGAGAACGATCACGTGGAATACACACAAAGGTGATAATATGATTTTGAATGTTGATGACAATAGCCTCGGTAATCCTAGTGTCTCGGGTTTTGGTGGATTTATTAGAAATGCTAATGAATTCATAGTTTTGTGGGTAATATTGGTTATTTAGACATGCTTCATGTTCAGTTGATGGTGATATTTATATCATGGTTTGTGTATGGCATGTGAAATTGACATGAAAGAGTTTATGTGTTATTGTGACTTCAACTCTACTATCAAGATTATCTCAAATTTTATTAATGTTTGACAACACTATTTCGCGATTCTTCACAACAATAAAGAGCTTCTCTCTAGGGAATGACGAGTTCAAATATTTCATACTCTTAAGGAGAAGAATGTTTGTGCTGGCTATCTAGCAGAATATGGGATTGGTAATGGTGTGGCGTACCGGTCTTTTGCGTAAACTTTTGTTGAAATCATTGTTTATATACAAGTGTGAGTTGGAAGTCTCACATAGCTTTAAAAAGTAAAGGTTGAGCACTTTATAAATGAGAGGGCTCATACACCTATCATCTTAAGGTTTTGAGTGAATATGTGGTGTCTCTTTCACTTGTGTGTTGCTCTTGACTCAATATGGATGGTCTTCATAATGTCCCAACAGTGATATCAGATCTGATGGTTCAATTAAGTGACTAACTTCTTGTATCGAAAGTCTTCCTGACAATGTGGTAGTCAGACGACATGTCCCATAGTACACGCAGCGGCGATACAAGCTACTATTACAATTTTAACCAATAATAACACGAAATTAATAGCGCTTTTTAGATTAAACGATATTAAAATTCATGCAGAAATATATGATAGAGATTTATTGTCGGGCGCTATTATAAGTATCACCCTATAATAGCGCTTTTCTTAAAGCGATATTATAGAATCTGACCAAAAATAAAAAATAAAGAAAATGATTATTAGCGTTTTTTGGATGCACGCTATTATTATTATTATTATTATTATTATTATTATTATTATTATTATTATTATTATTATTATTATTATAAGAATATACCTCTGTATTAGTGCTTCATATAAAAACGATATTATAATATTTTAATAATTTCAAGCTGAAACAATTTTTCAAAAAAAAAAGTCGAAACATGTTTTCACTTCATCGTGAGTTGACCCGATATCCTTCTTCTTTCCCTAAAACACACACGGATGGAGACCCTTCTCTTCTTCTTCCTCTATCTTTAATCGTTCTTCTTTTTCTCCTCCATCATTCACATTTCTTCTTCTTCTTCTTCATTCACCATTCTTGTTGACATAGGAGGATGCAAGAGAAAACTCCAAGGAAAATGGAGGAGACAACCAAGGAAGATGAAAGAAGAAGGTAAAAGATTTGTTACATTATATTCGGTATATGTATTTAACCAAAGGTACATCCAAGTGTATATATACAAGCCATTCTATGACCAATGAATAATAAAGTTTAAAACTAACTATTGGTCCATAATAATAAAATTAATATAAGCTAATATGCCCTCTCAAGTTGGACTATGTATACTACAAAGTCTTAACTTGCCTAGAATAGAAGAAAGAGAAGATGAATGGAGAGGTTTTGTAAACATGTCCGTGAGTTGTGCAGTAGTGGAAATAGGCAGAAAATGAATAAGATTAGAGCAAATCTTCTCACGAATAACGTGGCAATCGATCTAAATATGTTTGTTGCATTCATGAAATGTGGGATTATGGGCTAAGTATATTGCGGATTTACTGTCACAAAATACAGATGCAGGCTTG